TCTTAAAGTTATTATAACAACAATGACTCCGACAATTGCCATTGAAGCTCTAGCAACTCTAGTTTCAAATATATTTCTCTGTTTGACACAGAATATTCGTTAAATTATTAGATAATCATGTTGTTTGTGTTAGTTTTCTATTTAGGGAACTTTTAATTTTAGCATTGTAATGGAGAAAAGGGACGACGAAGGAGACGAGCAACACCGTAAATGGGAACAAGAAATTGTATGGAAAAAAAAAATATGACATGGATAAAGAAAAAAGAAAATAAAACTAAATATTTTCATCATTGACATGTTGTCAACGTGTGTCACCGAAGTGGTGCTGATTTGGCCGCGTGTATATCACCTCCCAACCATGAAGTTGGTATTGTATATATAATGTTGTATTTAATTTACCTAAAAGTTCTTTAAGGGCGTACGGTACTTAAACATTCGTAAAGTTACAGTACTAAAGTGAATTTTACGGACAAATTTGAAATTTTTTTATGTATTTTCCCATTGTGTTATCAATACTATTTATTAATATACTGTATTATAATTTTTGAATAATATATTATCTAGTCGATAAAAAATAATAATTTTGTGTTGAAGTTATTCAAAACGCCCAACTGTAGCTTAAAAAAGATATTATATTCCTCACACATACTGATTATACTATGGTCAAATCAAAGATGAAAGTGGAAAACATTCATCACGTCCACAGCACATATGCACTTGAATGGGCATCAATCTCTTAAAGCTCCATGCTCCTTGGACATTAAGGACACTATGAAAATGGGATGCTACTATAAAGTAGCTCTCTATGATGAATAATTGCTATTTTGTCCTTTTTGGTCGAACAAAAGTTTAACGGTTCAAATTGAGTTAAGATAATAAGTGAACTGATCAATGAACCACTAAATTATATTTCCATGCCTAATTTTATCCTTTCTAATTACAAAATAGATTTAAATTGAAGTTAAAGATCAATTCTAGGTCAAGGTTAGGTCTAAATTTGATCCATAAGAAGATCAACTAGGATGAAAAGTTTGGACTTCCTAAAGAGAAACTTCATAATTCATATCCTAATATTCACGATACAATATCCCAGGATACATAAGTGATGCAGTATTCACCATTTATAATCTTCAAGCATTCCCCTCCCACCTTTAAAGGAAAAATATAGACAAATACGATCGGAGGTGGAGGAGGGACCGGGACTGGGGCGTACAGATAAAAGTGTTGAAAGATGATCAATGTGAAATTCATTTGTAGAACTTCATTCCCGTATTTTCATTAGGAAAGTTATTTTTTTTTATTGTTGAGAAATTTATTTTTCTAAAAATAATTTAACTAACTGAACATGAAAAGATCAAAAGATATTTCCTCCATACGGGACACACCCTAACAAAAGCGAGAAAAAGTATGTAACCCTCATATGGAAACAAGATACCAAACGTTTGATTACACTAATGTTTATAGTAGATCTTAATTTCAAGTGATTAACAACCAAAAAGAGAAGGATTACTTATCCAATACAACTAATTAGTATATAGACCCAATGTTGGTACAGATTAAATAGAAAGAATTAACTAAAATAGTCGTTCATTCAACCACTTAAACTTAAAATAGATAACAAATATATAACATAAGCATAAATAATAAATAATATATGTATACATAATAAAAAAAAGTAAAAAATAAATCCGACTAATTCAAAACCTCTGAAATCTCCACGTTACTTGGACATTAAATTTCTTTTCCTAAGACACTCGAGTAGTGTGTTCCTTTGTGGAGGGATCAATCTGGGTAAGATGTACTGGGAATATTATACCACCTTTGACTATGAAGCTTTATTAATCCACTCGACATGTTTGGTACGAAAGATAAATATCTTTTGAAAAATAAATAAATCTATAGTATCTTTTAAAAGATTGAGATATTGAAAATAAATTAAACTATCCGTTTGAAATTAGTCCTCCAAAGTTAATTAATTAGATACTTTCCTCAAAGCACAATTAACCAAAAAAAAGGCTAATTATCACTTCAAAGAAGTCATTATGTTGTTTGATGAACTCTTTTATAAGATAATGTTGGAGAGCAGGCCGTTATTATATCCCTAAATTTGGGACATTAAACTTTTGTGATATATTATCAATCACTTCTATATGACACGTGTCGATCAGTAGTAGGGGCTACCCATTCATCAAAAACACTTGCGTGTCGATTTTTTATATAGTGTATTTTAGAAATGTCCCCCTCCCCTACCATTCCAGTTTATAATTTAATCGTAAATTTTTACGTATCAATATAATGATTGATAAAAGTATACATCATAAAATATTAGTTAAAATTTTAAAATTTGTAGTCTAATTAATTTTTAGAGTATTTTGTATTGTTGTAAATCATGATTAAAAGAAGAATTTTAAAATTAGACTAATGATAATAAAATGACATTTTTTTTAACAAACTAAAAAAAAATAATATCATATAAATTGAGATACATAAATTATTTTAATTTATATCTACAACATAATTTTTCGGTAAAAGGCATCGATTGATACCTATTCTATGAATCTATGTGAAATATATTGGTTTTAATTTATATATATATATATATATATATTAAATTTTATATTTTTAAATCTAATGAAGATCTTCTTTTAGCTGTTTTAATAATTGAAAATTTTTCTGAACTTTGAACAAATAAATCACCGTAAATAGCATTTTTCTAGTTTTTATCACAATTTAGATAATTAAATCGGAAAATTCAGAAGTTTTATAGCCGTATTAAGGGTCTGTTTGGGTAGATTTATAGAAGTAATTTATGATACAAAATTAAAAGTTACAAGTAGAAAATGCTCTACTTTTGACGTACTGCAAATTCTTTTATCCAAAGTGAGTGCTTAAAATCACTTTTAACCTTTCCAAAACAATTTCAAAACCTACAAAAAGATGTTTACAAATTAAAAACATCTAAAAATAAGTTAACTTGTTAGGATTAAAATAATTGTCATGCGGAAGCTAGCTAAGCAAATCTTAGAAGATTATGAGTAAGAAGACTAATAAGAACTATATCATAAGACACAAAAATGTAACGTGATTGGGTCAATCAACTTACGTTTTAAAAGGAAATAAATAATTCACTATAAAAATATGAGCGTCTAAAATATAGATAGAAGTAAGATTTATCCAATTCACTGAGAATGCAAAAAAGTTTACACAAATAATAATGTATCACTTGTTTCCAACAAATTTTCCATTCTAACTAAAGCTCTCAAAACCTATAGAACTACGTGAATGTTGATTAAGTTAAAAAAACGAACTTTTATATAGAGAGTCTTAAACTTTCTTACAAAAAATGAACTATCAAAATATGAAGACTTTATATTCTCGGAAAAGAAAAACGTATTTATAATAAAGACAGACACTGAAGATTCCTCATCAACTGAATCTATACCAATACGTTTTAAATTTGTCAGTTGTCGTTGTAAGTACTTTATTCGATTTATTTCATTTTCTTTAGTTATATCACTACAAGTACTTTGTTCAAATTATGACATTTTCTTTAGTTATATCATACTTATAATTTAGATAGTTATGTACTTATGTTGTATAAAACATATTATTTGCTTTTAGTTATATGCATACTTTAATTTTATTTGAAGTTGATAAGTATAATTAAAGAAAATATCATATTTTATTTGATTAATTTAATTATCTAATAGATAAATAAAAACACGCTAATGAACTTTCTGCAAAACTTTGAATTGAAATTGTCTAAAGTAAAATACTTAAATTAGAAATTGAGTATATTTAATATTGAAAAAAGTGACTTAATTGTTACTAATTATATAAAATATCTTAATAAAAATATAAAGGTATGAACATGTACTGAGCCAATATACTAAAGCCACGAAAGTACTTTGTTAAAGAAAAGAACAAAAGATTGTCGTGTCTATCCACGTTCAATTAATTTAATTTGTTTATAATTTTAAAGGATGGAGATTAAGATAGTTCGATTTAACTTATTTTAAGAGAATTTTAATTGAATTTAATTTAAAAAGAAAAAGAAAAAGTTTAAATTTAAATTGTGGTTATAATACTTAAATAAATAATATATTAGAATTATTGAGATTAAGTGAGTTTTGAGTGAATCAAAACGTTATCTGTTTTTAAGTGTATTGGAGTCCAAGTCCAAAGTAAACTTGGAAAGATCAGAACTCAACCCAATTTTTATTTATTTAACATATTATATCTCTAATTTCAACTCAATCCATCTATTTAACATCGCTATTTACAAATAATCCGACCTAAAACATCATTTTTTTTTATGATTTTAAGAATTTAAAGACGCTTAATTGGTGAATTTTCCATCAAATAATTAAAAACAAGCTCAAACGTAGTACTAGGCCACAAAAGCATATAAGAATCAATGCGTTGATATATAATTCAATATAACAACAAACATTTTAGTTTACCAATAAATATTGTGAAATAGAACATCCTTTTTTAAATCTGTTATGATAAACTTGCTCGAATCTAAATGAAATTAAAAATATCATGCTAAAGATCGTTTAGTTTAGAAATTCAAAAGAGTCTTCAACTTTAAATTTTAAGATAAATTCAACAGTAGATCGCAAAATTTTGATCATAATTTTTCTTTAGAAAAATAAAAGATGAAGCTTTTACCTTTCAGCAATGCTCTAATAATTTAAACCTTTTAAATTTTAAAGCGTCGTTTTTATATATACCTAGTGATTTATCCAAAATATATAATATAAAAAAAATACCATGATTAGGGTAAAAAATAACACAACACAAATGAACGACCAATCATGAGGTAAGGTCAAATTAAATTAAACCTTTGTTTTATATAAGTAAAAAAAAAAGTTTTATACTACATAACTAAGATATTACGTCAAGATTGGGCATGATGAGGTCATGACATAATTGGAGGGTCGAATAATTAATTAAATTACATGTGTATATAATATGGTGCTTTTATTCAATCTCTTAGTAGGTAAAATAAAAAGAAGGGGAAAAAGAATAATACTCTAAAATTATCTAAAATCATTTGAAGAATGGGGAGAGGAAAAGTTGAATTGAAGAGAATAGAGAATCAAACAAATAGGCAAGTTACCTTCTCCAAGAGAAGAAATGGTTTACTTAAAAAAGCTTATGAACTCTCTATTCTATGTGATGCTGAAGTTGCCCTTCTCCTTTTCTCTCCTTCTGGCAAAGCTTATCATTTCGCGAGCCACGAGTAAGTCGTCTCAAACTCTTAGTACTGTTTGAGTTCTGTGAATTCAGTTATATATATACTTGTAGTACTCGATTATATTTGTTTATGACACAACCATGAGATTAATGGTTTTTTTTTTTATTAATGAATCGATGTAGCATCGAAAGGACTATTTTAAGGTACAAGAATGAAGTTGGATTGTCCAAAAATAGTGATCAAGGCCCCAGAGCTATGGAGGTAATAAATTACTTTCCTCTTGAAATTAAAGAAAAATGCTCAAATATGTGAATGAATTTTGAGAAAAGAATTATATGTTCATTTGTTAAAAGTTTCTCGTTTGAAAAAAAGGTTCATTTATGTCATTATTTATTAACTAAAATAGCATAGATAAGTCAAACTTTATAGCATAGATGTTTTTTTTCCATAGTTTGATGACATATTTAAATATTTTTCTTTTAATAAAATGATTTAATTAATCAGTCACTGAATCGTAATTGACCAAGTGTAATTTTTTTTTCTTTTTTTGCAAAATTAGAACTATTTTGAGTTAACAGATCATTAGCATGGGGCATTTTCTCAAATGGAAATGGCTGA